TATGTCAAACCTAATTAAACATCAGAACAAGAAAAGGAGTAAACTGTGAAGATCAATTTCACCTCTCTGCTGCTAAAAACATAACTCACTTAAATCTGTCTCTGTTACAATGTTTTACAGCAGTCTGTTTTAATTTGGGTAGGGGGTGACATGATGTTATATTATTCATTTCGCTGATCCAGGTGTGAACTGACAAGTAGTTATTTGGTAACATTGACTGATTGCTGCCTGATTTAATTGTGCAGCAACCACACTGTATTATTCATGGTGTGGCACTTTTAACTTGGTAATTACCAGCTGCTGGGACACAGTGGGACACCAGTGGTTATGTGTAAAAACAGCTCGCTCAGTAAATTCACTTACACAACGCACACAAGAAGTAGTTAATCACTTATTGGGTGCATTGGTCTGCACTCTCTTGGGTTAGTTATGCTGTTTTGTGCATTTTGTGTTGATACAGTCTGTTGACATTTTCTTGAAAACTTTATTTCTTTTTTGGTAATCTTTTTAACTAAATTATCTGGCTAAAGGAAGCAATTTGGTAATGCCTTCATTTATGAGGTTATGTCATAGGTTGATGTCTACCTAACATGAAACATGGTTACATTCACGAACATTCCTGGAAAATTATTTTGTAACAAATGTTGTAATTCAGTTTTTACCTCGATAAAACCTTGTACTTCAAACCGCTGTGCAGCATTTTGGAGTCTAATAAGCCTTTAAATACATTCATCTGTTACTGGACTTCCTGGATTGTATCTCTCGGGTGCCTTAAAGATGCAGTAAGCGATTCTGGAGACATCCACCAAACATCACGACTGGAATAGTGTTGTGTGGCTCAGTCCAAGCAACTTTGTTTGTTTCCCATTTACAGAGACAGTGCACACACACAGAACGGACAGCTAGTGGACCGTGAGGAAATACTTGCTAAATTTGACAAAAATATTTATTTTGGATTAGAATCGCTTACTCCACATTTAATAGTCTCGTCCTGTGTTGAATGTTGCTTTAACGTTACCTGGTCCGTACTTGTAAAATATCCACCGCGACTTGTAACGTCATTTCAAGTTTTTAACGGAGTGAAGTCTGTTGGTGCGTTCCATTTGACATGGGAAGTCGGAATTTCCGAGTTCCCAGTTGGAACTTTCAGCTGGAACGCCCCCTGAAGTTGGATTTCCGACTCGGAAAGTCGGGACAACCGCACTACCCCGACTTTGTGATCCAAGATGGCTGTCGGGGTATCGACAGTTAGTGAAAGCTGTAGTTTATACTGTTTATTAGCACTTCTGCATACTTGTGACTCATATAAATGTTCGTACACAAAGTGCTGTCCAGCTGCTGTCTGTGGACATGTTGCTACAGTGTTTAGTGTGAGTAAATACCGCAAAATGCGTTTTTTTAATCAACCGGCGTATCAATAGCTAACCTGGCTAATTGTAAACAAACAGCTGGGCGGGCGAGGTTTTCCGACTTGTTGCCTGGAATGCCGTCAACTCGGGTGTGACGTCATTCCCAGCTCCGACCTCCGACTTCCGAGGTAAAACGAAAGCAGCATGTGCGAATGAACACACGCATCAACCCCGCTACCTACCTACTTCATTAAAACAGACAGAATTTTAATTAACACCAAGGACAGAGGGTGCAACTTGGTGTACACTTGACAAAGAGTTTGTCACGGTCAGCAGTGTATTTCATTCACTTTTGGAGTCATGCACCTGGAACTCTCTGAGGTTGAAACTCAGTTCCGAGCAGTCTGGAACGCAGCATGAGTAGCATAGAGCTGCTCAGTGTTTGTTTCTACCTCCTCCCAGGAGTTGGAGTCAGGTGTATGGGAGTCCAGAGAAGACCAGCTGCTTGTCATCAGCCAATCACCTCTGCTACTTATTTTCGCTTCACTTCCACTCATAGCCAGATTGTAGACAGTACTTCCTAGTCAATTTTAACCTCAATTTCCTGTGTTGGTAGACTCCTGTCCTGCACCACTCCTGCCTCACCTGGAAAAACAGACCTTGCTGTCTAGTCTGAAGCCCTTTAAAACTCCACTCTGGATTCTGCCCTCCCAAATACCTCAGACTCTGCCCCTTCCCTGCACAGAAACATTTGTGGGTGCTTCTCAAGTCTCTTAATTGCATCCACGTTTCTCTCACTTGCATGGGGATGCATGGAGAGACGCAAGAAAACCAAGCCAGGAGAGAAGGGATGAGGAAATATGTTTTTAGAGACATGAGACGCCCTTTCCTCCGAAGCGTCACGTGAAGCGACCTCCGTTTCTGATGACGGTGGCAGCTGATCAGCGCCTACACACTTTTGATGAAGTTTGTGTCTGCACACATGCACTTTTCTGATATTAATAAAGTCTCAGTTATCAGTGCAGAGCAGCATGATTCTCTCTGTAGCTGTTACCAAACACCTGCAAATCAATAATAATAATTATATTATAATATTATAGGTTAGGCCAACTGTAGGCCCTGTGTCCTGCTCAGAGGCACAGGATCATTTCTACAGGCACAATGCTTAGGCTAAATTATCTGCATTTATATTTATTGATTCTGATTGTGAATTCGTTATTGAATAACCTGGAATATGTTCATGCTGTCTTGGGATTAATTAGGCTGTTTCAGGGAAATTTAAATGATGTAGCCTAACTCATCTCAAAGTCGACGCTCAGTTTTAGGCTTTCCGTTTATTTCCTCATCAGATAACACTACAGAATACAATTTATTTGCAAGTCATGTCACTCCTCACCTATCAATCACTGCGCACCATTATTATAAATCTAAGTTTTCATTCATACTTTCATCAGCTGAATTTAGGCTACTTGCGGAGCCGCCACCTGCTTCAATCAGATGCAGTAGATGAGATTGGCTGGCTTTATTTTCCCTTGCTTGCTTCATTAAAGACTTCAGTGCAGTTTAGTTAGAAGTCCAACTCCTTAGGCTAAGTGTTTACTATTTAGGCTATTGTTGTTTATTTGACTAAACACAGGAATGACCAGCCTCACATGTGACTGAAAAGAAATGAGAGAAATGATGTAAAACATGTTTCTTGCTAACAGACTCTCCGACTGACTTTAATTGTCTCCATAATAAAAGTTGATGGGAGAAATAAAAGAAAAAGAAATAGGCCTTTCTAATAGGCCTAAATGAAGAAAGTTGTGTGTGGGGCTTTTGTTGTTCAGACCTACTATGAAGATTTTAATTAGATAGTGAATCATAAAACAAACCAACTCTTTGCAGTGATGCACTTGAGTTTAATACTATCTGTTGTAATGAATCAGATCAGTCCGATCAGCCACAGTGTCCAATCAATATAACAGCTACGCAATAAGGGGGCGTGTCGGTCAGTAAACTTCCACGAAGGATGCACTGATGTATCCTCGCTCAGAGATCGCTCCTAGGTCCTTGCGCAAATAAGAGCTTTGGGACGGCCTGCCAGATGGCAGCCTGCAACAACTTCCGGTTCAAGCGAGGATCGAGGAAACGACAAATAAGAGACTTGAGAAGAACCCTGTGAAATAACCTTGGTATTATTTGCATTTCTGACTCTGTGTTCTCTGTCTGCACAGGGGTTTGAAAACAAATGAGCTCAGCTTTAGCAGTGAAGAAGCGCTTAAGATTCTGCGAACCTTTTCTTCCATATTATTTTCTCAGTCCTCATTAATTTGTACAATTCAATTTTGAAGCAAAGAACCTTGGCTAGATGACATGTGGTAATTTCCATCCATTTACCTAGGACGCAATTCTTCCGAGTTTACAACTTATGTGAAATAAAAAATAACTAAATATGAAACAACTTGCAGTTCAACTGTTTCAAAACAATTAAACATGTTCAAAGTGATCTAATTGTGAAAGGCTTCTGTCCCAAATTGAATGAGTACATCATCAAAGAAAACCTTCCTTGTGAATAAAAATACACCACATTTGCACAATGGTACAGTCAGATCCTAAATGAGGTCGGCTTGTGAGGATTCTTTAAATGGAGGTGATATAGCAACCATCACAGATCGTTAAAAATAGACATGCTATAGCTCTGCAGCAATCACAAAGATGAAGTCCTCATGGGAAAAAAAACCTTTATGAAAGTTAACCCTGAACTGTAGCATTTTAGTAGGCTGATCTAGTCAGTCCCTTTACAGATGACAAATATGCAGACAGACGCACAGCCAAAGCAAATACTTTCGGCATGCATGTTAAATTACATAGAAGTTAGTATGTCTTTCTGTCCTCAAACAGAAATAACCAACAGAAAGGTTTTTTAAAAGAGGAAGAGCATGGGACAACAAAAGGAGGAAAGTGAAAGAAAGGGGAGGAAAGCACTTACCCTTTAATCCAGCTACAAGATAGCGGGGTCAGGGTTTAGAAGAAGAAGAAGAAGAAAAGGAAGAAGATACAGAGAAACATAAAGACACACAGCAAAGCCACCAACACTTACAGCAGTTCTACAACAAAGAGCGAAGCAGCAAATGGAGACAGAATAACAGTAACAGTTGGAAACATATATGTCATAAATGTTGTGAGGACAACTGTGCAGTAGGAGACAGAGTGGGACATCAAGAACAAGAGAGAACAAGAAGCTGAGTAATAAAAAGGAGGGTCTAAACTGCTTTTTATTCTACTTATTGATCACTGATTGCTACAGTATACACTTACTATACAGTAAGTGGGCTTCTAATGCTACTATAGGAATAATATAAAGCATTAAATGTGGCTGCAACAGACAAGTGTATCCCATTTTTTAACATTGAGTTCAATCAATCGATGTCACTTGTGCTGCCAATTTCTGGCCTGACAGGGGGCCTTCAAGTTAACTGTTTGAAATGCAACAATTATAGAAATGCAGGGCCAAATATTTTCCTAAAAATGTCGAAATGGATGCTGCATCATCAAGTTAGAAAATAAAAAAATTATAGACAACAACATGGTTGCATCCTGTTTGAGGAGAAGCATTTGTGTGGTATGAGAACTAAAAGACTAGTCAGAATCTGAGTGTTGAACACTCACAGAACTGAGAGATGGGTGCATCAAGCTGTGGCGTCGTGCTCCCCCTCGAGTTGAGTTTCTGGACCTGGGTGGGAGGAACTGGCTTATGGGACTGGCCGGTAGCTCGGTACATGGCTTGGACCCATAGGATCCGATCCTGCTCATCATCACTGGCAAAGATCACAGTGTCGCCCTCTTTCACAGCGTTGAAGAACGTCCGACCGCCATCTAGACCTAAAGGATGGACGGAGGAAGAGGAAGCTTTGTTTATGTTTATGTGTTAACAGGATCACGCATTCCTGTTTGTGTAGATACGTCAGAATAAAACACCAAAAAAAATGACATGACTATTTAAAAAAAGTCTCATCATCAGCACATTGTTTGTTATGAGGTTATCACAGAATGTCATGAGTTACATTCACAAGCAGTTTTAAAACTTATTGTGGTCACTTGCTCCAACACTCACAAGACCTCTCCTAAAACTCAAGCTAAGATCAACAGGATTACATTCATTAGAAGTAGCGAGGGATGGAAAGGCAATTTATCTGTTTTTTTTAAATGGTTATATAGAAGTCTGTTTAAATCTATAGGACACCTTTAATCACTTCCTTGTTGGATCCATGTTCAGTTTGTACACCCCCCCACAGTCCTGAGAACAGGTATAATCAGGCAACAAACGCCTATGTGGGTGGACTGTGCGTGTACAGGAACGTTAACAACAAATTGAACTTCAAATTGTGACACTTCCACTGCGTTGCTTGTTGTTATGCACTGCGCAGCTGTGTCATGTGGTTTCTGTTACCTGGTTGAGGGTCGGTGTAGTCCACGGTGTAGCCATCCAGTTGGAGAAGCTCTACAGGCTCTGCCTTCTTCTCTCTGTAGCTGCACATGGCAAAGGTGTACTGACTCACCTGCTCCAATCACAGAGAGGGGAAAAGTTCATTCATCAGCTGGCTCAGTGCATTAATATGGTGGTAAGTTAGCTGTTAACCTTTTGTTTTGTATGTTTTAATTCACATCAGTTAAACATAAAAACAAGCACACATCACCACATGACAACATCAGGATCAGGGGAAAGCATTAGCAGCAGGCAATAACAAAAACACAGCATGTAAAAAATTACCACATTATGAAATTGAAACTTCACTGTCCCTCGGAGGGGAAGTTCTTCCTAAAGAAAATGTCAAAAACCTTACTAACCCTCTGCTACAATAAACTTGAAAATCTACAATCTTTCAAAGACTTTCCAGTATCATAAAGAAATGCAAACTGATGTCACAATTCCATGTCAAGTCACATCTTTTCAACCTCCCTCCAGGAGGCAGATACAACATGGCAGGACCAAACAGATGAAGCATTGACTCAGATTCCAAAGAGCAAAACATTTGAATCAGAAACACCTTAAATCTTGCATAGCTACATTTGTTTAAGCATATACCATTTGCAAAGGCTAGTCTGGAAATATTTAAATTAGGATAGTAAAAGTTTTAAATGCATTCAGCTTTAGTATTAACGTGTACTGTAGGTAGGTTTAATTCTTGTTGCTTATTTATTTATTGAATTAAACGTGACAGCCACCTGTGAGAAATATGAACATATGTGCAGTTGAGCTGCTTGGAGTGTGAGGAATATTAAATATGTTCATGTGTTTGTAACAGTTGTTAGGTGGTGTATGGTTGCTACAGGCTGGTGGGCTGGAGTCGAGTGCTTACAATGTGTATGGATGTTAGAGTAATTAGGCATCAACTTAAATATGAGGTGCTGTAGTGAAGTAAGATTAGTGTACAGTTAGTACTTAAGTCTTTTTTGAGTCATGTAGCAATGTTAATGAATGTTTATTTTAATCTATTTACCTTTAACAAACCAGCCTTGATTTTCAAGGAACCTCATTCTCCTTTATTGTTGACATTATTCACCCGTGCATCAAGAGCTCTTTCTGAAGTAAAATTTGAATTATGCAGACTGTGGGCCTTGTTTTGAGGATCTAAGCGCATGGCGGAGGCGCATGTAGGCCGTGACAGAATCTTTTGCTATTTAATGTTGGAAAAAAATTGTCGGCACACCAGGAACGTGGTTCAAAAGGGTCGTGCTCAGTCTGTGAGTTAGTCATGGGTGTGTTGTGGGCGTAACATGCAGTAAAACAATGTCAATAAGTGTTGTCTCCCATTCTCTTTGTAAAATTAGGAGCGCTTCTACCTTGGTGCATTGCTATTTAAATGGCCCATGAATTTCACATTATAAAAACTATTGTAAAATATAAATAAATAAAAATATGCAGAGAGAGAGAGAGCTCATGTGGACGAGCGAGGGAGTGAGGTTTCTATGTAAAGTGTATGAATTACACTGCAGACTGCAGTCTTTAATGATTTACAATCCTGTTGCCGTCTCGTGCATAAATGTGCACAGCGTCTTTGTTAATGGGGAGACGATTCACTCTATTTCACCCCTATGCAAGTCACCTGCTATTAATCAGAAAGTTCATTTTAATGACCAGACCCAAACAATCTTCGGATAAAAATGTGATCTGCACATCACTAGAACCCGGCTATGCAGGCGCATCTTACTAGCTGAATAATGCGCCCTTGAAATAGATATATACTGTGTCATTGACTTTAGAGCAGGTTTTTGTTGGTCAATCGCGCAATCAGTTTCTGCAGCCTCTAGATAGCAATGCAGCAACAATGCAAGTGACCACACCTCATTTTAAGACCAACACTCACATGGGTGCACAGATGAGCGCAAGTACATTTGCTACTTACACAATGTGGGCGCTGGGTGTGAAAATGTAAACTACATCAGTTGGAAACTAGCAATGCAAAACTTGCGCTGCACTGTGCGCTGCTTTGCGCCGGGTGCAAGATAGGGCCCTAAGAGTCTAGAATCATGCAAACATCAGCATGCTAACATGCTCACAATAACAATGCTAAAATGCTGATGTTCAGGCATAATGTTTGGGCACTCTGAGTGTTCCTTGTTTTTGATTAAGAAGAGGGCTAACCCTATATAATTCTTTTGAGCTGAGAAGCATCAGCCCAGTAGAAAGCTAAAACTATGATTTTAAACATACACGTGCAAGACACACAGAGAGGAGAGAGAGGGACCAGAGAAAGAGAGAGAGGAGGGGTACGTATTTCACATGTCCACAGGAACGTGCACAGCAATTTTGGGGTTCAGGTGCTCAAGGGGAAAAAGGGGCACTTCTCATAATTATTTATTTTAAAAAATGTTTTTTTAAACAAAACGTTAAAAATACTAACACATCTCTGACTTATTTACCAATTTACTGTAATTCCGTCAGACACTTGCACTTGTTTCATACTGTATAACAGATTCTTAGTTCATACAGAGACCCTCGTCTTCTTTAGTATTCACTTTTCGGTTTATTACCAGAGCAGGCAAAAGCAAAGGAAACTGTGCGACACAATTTGTTTATTTTGCACAAGGCAATCAATCGTTTTAATTCTTTTGGTGTTATTGGAAAACATAACACTGTCAAAATCAACAAATCGTCACACTAAACTGTGGCATTGGCTTCACACAGACAAGCAACAGAATACTGAATTGCCTGAACACATGAATGTGTGGACCAAATACATTACTATTATAGCTATTATAATTACACTTACACACACACACACACACACACACAATAACTGATGGTGACAAGGACTTAGTTTCACATTTGAGGGAGGGCTGCCTGTATCATGTAAAGATATATCAGCATAAAACAGAATGGACAGTTATTAGATTCCTCATCGAATAATTGTGGCCATAGTCTTGTCACTGCTCCCTGTGTTGGTAACAGGAAGCGTAGTGACACTGTGTTGCTAGCTGGAGCTAGCCTGCTGCTACTGTAGCTGCCAGTCATACCAGCCTGTCGTCACAAATCACCAGGCCTGGCCAATCCGCTGTCGTTGTCACCTCTGCCACTGCAAGTGGCAACTTCTAGCTGCAGCTGCATTCTGTGTGTGTGTGTGTGTGTGTGTGTGTGTGTGTGTGTTAGAGTGTATTGCTCATGTTATGGGGACATAAATCTGTTTCACAGTCACATTGTGGGGACTCATCTGCCTTTTGGGGACAAAACCTTAGTCCTCATAACGTAAATCATAACATTTTGGGGTGATTTAAGGCTTAGGTTAAGGTTCGGGTAAGGGTTACATTTAGGTAAGTAGTGTTTATAGTTAGGTTAAGTCTCCAGGGAATGAATGTAAGCCAATGTAATGTCCCTGAAAGTGACAAACTCTGTGTGTGTGTGTGTGTGTGTGTGTGTGTGTGTGTGTGTGTGTGTGTGTGACAAATGAGATTCCCCACAACAACACTGATGAGACCTAAGGGCAACTAAAGCATGGAGGGAACCGGACCGACTCTCCAGCAGCTCCCTGGCCTCCAGGACACCACAAAGGCAAATCAGAGTCTAAACTACCGACCCCCCCCCCCTCCACCCATACCCCAAAACACCAGCTTCCTCTCGCTCTCTCTCTCTCTCAGCTGTCAGTCAGCACGAAGAGAGACAGAGGAACAGACAGTGATGAAGAATGAGAAAAGAAGAGAGTGAAGAGGATTGCTACAGTCTTTTATATTCACATCATTACAGGAAACACATGGACATGAATACAGATGATTTGCTGGATGTGGCATGTGTGTTCACAAACAAACTTCAGAAGCCAAAAGGAAAAACATCCAAACCCTGACATGGTTAATATTATTTCTGATATTAAAGTAATTGAACTGAAATAAATAGAGCTGGATTAAAATAAATCAACCAAAAGAAAATTAAAATTGAATGAAACTGACATCGTGAAATAAAGCTAAATTATCTGAATTCAGATTTGTTGTATTAAACACAATTGAACGGGAAAAAAATTTAAATAAATAAAAATGCTGAGAAAAAAAAAGAACTAAGAAGAGCTGAAGTAAATCAAAATCAAGTGACCTGAATTAAAATGAAATGAATAAAAGTGAAATGAAGTTAAGTGAATTGAAATGCACTGAATCAAAATGAACTGAACTGATGTGAATTCAAATGTACTGAAATTAACCAAACTGAAATTAATTCAACTGAAATAAAGTGCAGGGAACTGAGTTGAATTTAAGTGAATTTAAATCACTTGACTATAATTAACTGAACTAAAGTGCACTGAACTGAACAAAACGGAAGAGAATTGAATTGAAGCAATTTTAGGGGAATGGAAAGACAGATGGTGGGCACATGTAGAATGAAATTTGGTCCACCATGAGCACACAAGGTTTAGCTGATCTGTAATCTGCCTGAATGCTCTGAGGAGGCCACAACCACTGTACTGATTATGAACTGATGGACAAAGAGGAGGGGGTGATTTAAGGACAAAGAGGAAGACTGGAGGATGAGGAATGAAGAGATGACAGGCAAGTGATAGATGACAGGGAGAAGAGAGAGAGGAGGAGGAGGAGAAAATGAGTCCAAAGTAGAAGACGTGGAGGAAGAAAACGGATATGGACAAAGACAGCAGGACTGAGAAGAGACAGAGGGAGGGAGTGGATGAACAGAGGCGTAACTTCTGAGATGTAGTACGTGTCTTATACTCAGATTTCAATTCCTAATTCAGTCCAAACTGTTGGTTGTACTAATAAGGATACAGTATACGTCGTGTACAGAGTATGTTGTACAATGAAACTGATCTGAACATTTTAAATCCAGAAATATTATGCACCTTCACTTCTAACATGATGTACATTTAACTATATGACAGAGCTGCAGCTCTGTTTAATGCAGCTTTGCTGTATAGGTTATTTCTGTATGCAGGCCTCTCAACACTGGCAGAGAGGCTTGTGTAACAAGTTGGGAAAAGGATAAGGAGCTTGACAAATTGACACATCAAAAAAGGCCTTAAAGCATATAGTAAACCATAGTACATTTACATAGTAGATAAAGCACTCTAAATACAAACTAGTATAAAGTATTCTAAGCACATGGCACAACGACTTTTTTTCTCTTTTTTGCTTCCTTGGGATGGGATTTGTTGACAAATAGAACAGCTCTTCTAATATGATGATCTTCCAGCATATCTCAGGGTGTGGTAAGAGTTTTTATAAAGTAACTGCACCGAGTCTCATAATCCTCTTGCTCTTTGCTCACCCTGTGCTGAGTGATGTAGCATCGCACTATGTGATCACAAGTACAACACACCACACCTAACACCCAGCTGACATGTTGGGTATGGTAAAAGGTCCAGCAGACTTTAAAGCCCCAGAGAGGTCAGCGCTGCAATGATTTTACAATACATACAATATCATAACGAGGAAGTGCTCCTTAAACAGTTTTTCCTAACCCCATGATACCTTGCATGAAGTATGGGCGTACAGAGATATTGGAACGCTGCATGCAACTATGCTTTATGCTCCCATATACGAAATCATTCATCCAGATATCTCTAACAAAAATGACACTGGATTTGAGTGGACACTGATTTTGACTGTTGACAAACGTCAAACAACAAACAGGCATTAAATGAGAGGGTACAAATGCACTTCTTATGGCAAAGAAATCTTTAAAAAATTTTACAATTCCAATAATTACTTATAACTTGTAAAAAAAAACACCTACTTTTGTGGTGTGTATTCCTCATACATGTTAATCTTGAAACTTCACTCTTAAAACAGCTCTTTTGATCTGTTTTACAGCTAGGACTAAAAACATTGTACAAACGAGTGTGGATACAGTCATCACAGTGAGAGACACGTTCCATAATACTAAACTATGTGTAAAGGATAGGTTGACATTTTTTAAGTCTGCATTAAAACAATTTTCGCTTGCCATATGGACACTAAAAGAGTTCTTTGTTACTGTAACCTAGTTAAGGTACTTCTAATGTAAGAGGTGGGGTAAAAAATCCACAGTCATTGTTAGTTAACTGTAACTATACATCCTCTGTATTATGACTGAGACTTTAGAATGCATTTTTGAACATCACTTACATTCGAGTTGCACTAGGAAGTGATCACTTCACAGCCAGGAGAATAGGAATGATTACAGTCCAACGAATCCTTTATCGTACATACGGCATGTGAGTACTCTATCAAAACATGAACCAGCAAAGGCTGGAATATCTGAAGGTTTTATGATAGTATAACTTCAGGCTTTTGTGTCTAAAAGGAGGAGCCAAGCTTAACAAATATGTTTGAGGGAAATAGATTCAAATCCAAGTGTGAGGTGGTAAAGAGAGACGTGGGTAACAAAATGGCAACAGTGAGTATTTACTTACAACACTTTTCATGAGAAAAACAGACAGTGAGCAAAGAAAAAAAATGCAACATCTCTAAAACAGCGACAAAAAGTACATGAGCACTCAAACACACGGCAATAACCAGATAGTGTCTGTGCTGCTCAAGACAAACATCCATGCACATCTGCAGACAGACATAAAAACAAACACACACACACACACACGAGTGCGCAGTCTATTGACCAGTGTTTGTCACTTGCTATATATTTAGCTGGGAGCCACCGAGAGGCTTCAAGTTGGCGGGGCTCAGGCTTTTCTAGCTGCGAGTGTTAGGCCAGCTAGTGTTCACTCGACTTTGTCAATCTGCTGTCAACTTGTAGCTCTGAGACATATCCTCTGACATACCCCCCCACCCCCCTCCCCCTCCCCCCCCCACCACCACCACCACCACACTCTTCGCCTACTACCCACCTCCCAATGCAGAGGAACACCAGGAAATGGCCGCTACCATCGCCCACACCCCCACCTCCCCATCTCCCCATCTCCTGACAAAAGCCTGCTTGGCCTCTCCATCATTCCTCTGACAGCCAAGGGAAGACAGCTTGGCTGCATCTCGCTTCCTCGCTGCACACACACATGTGGCCAGTGAAAATATTATCGACACAAAGCGGTGCTGATGTTGAAGGCTGCTCAGGGTTATCTCTTGGGTGTGACTGGGTTTTTGAGCTCACCATACATTCACTTTAGTCCAAATTTGATCTTGTGGAAAGTATGATAGAGAGCAAAGATCAAGAAAACATGTTTATATGGCTTTCTCCCTGTTAGGAATATGAATTTATATCTTCACCAGTCCATCAGTGATTCCCCAGTTTTTATAGATCAAGATATAATAATTGTACAGTCAAAGATTTATTTCTATTGTAGTTCTCAAGAACTTTAATAATGCTATGGAATATATACTTTTGTTAGACATCCTAATTTCTTAACAGGGTTCTGTAGATTTTGGGAAAATGAAGGATCTGCATGAAAATGTGTCCGTCTATCATCTACAGCAACTAAATGTTTTTTCATTACTGAATCATCCGACTTAATTGATTATAAAAATAGATGCAATTAATTTTATGTCACTCGACTAATTGATTAATTGAGAAATCATCTCTGCAAACTGTATGTCTTTACAAAATGTCTGAGCTGACAAAGGCAGGGGGTGCGTGCTATGGCAGGTTGTATTGGGTCAAGTATGGTTGCGAATGGATTACATAGAAATAACGCTATATTTCAAACTATTTCATCTACCTATATACAAATTCTATAAATCTCAGTCTTATAAATCTCTGGCACCCCCATCTGCATAGGAAGAGACACCACTTGGGATCCAGGCCCCGGGCTGAGAGCTTCAGAGTGCACTAAGGCTTGCAGCTGAGACAGGTGTAATGACTGCAAGTTCATTAGAAAAACATTTCCTTTCGTGACTGGCAAAACTGGCAACTGAAAGATATTAGTAATGCCACTGCTCATTCAAACACCTCGCCCACTGTATGAAGTGTACCATGTTTTGTGTATGTTCTTGTTTTATCACATACAGTTTGACTTGTAGCACAACTATATTATCTGTGCTTACCTGAACCAGCACAAAGAATCTTTTCTTCCATCTTTTCCACACGTTTTTGCCAATGGCCCATAGGTACCTGTGGGATGAAACAAAACGCTAATATTTAGCTAAAAAAACACAGAGATTTCTCAGTGTGGCCTTCATGCAGCTGTTGTGAACTTCTTTCTGCATTGCCTTGACTGATATGACAGAAGTCTGATGCGACAGGCCGCATCTGCAGAAAGGATACATACAGAGTGGTAGAGTTGTGCATCGACTGACCTCTCCTGGTAAAACGCCATAACTGCAACCAGACGCTTCACATTTTTCATCTCATTGTTCTGTTCTTTATTTGGTGTTTTGTGTCTAAGCTGACAAACCTTCCTTTGCACAGATATTTGTTGTAGTAGGATAAGCACAGTACTGCAACTAATGACACTAAGAGTGCCTCTTTTCCATTTAAGTGTAAGCCATCTGTGAGGCAGCGTGCACAGATAACTCGAAGTGGGGCATCTAAAATACACAGCAGCCATCCTTAATTTGACCAGTAACACCTGTATGCACTGTAGAGTGAATTGAAATTAGGGCTGTTAGATTACTGACACTAATTAATCAATAACAACAAAAAGTACATCCCCCGTAAAACTGTGTACATGTGCTTTTAAAGGGATCCATGGAGTACAGAGGTGACTAACACATTCCTAACTTTCATAACTAGGACTGGGCAATATTATAAAAATCATTTATTGTAATTTTGAAGAAATACCTTAATAATGATAAGCATCATTATAATGTCTTCATGCAATACAGATAATAGTGCTAAGAGGTCGGACATGAGTCATCATTCTGACACATTGTCTAATTAGGGTTAAACGGTTGGTCATTTTGCCTGAAACTCCCCCAAATCAAATCACTCTGCTAAATCATGTTTCCATTTATCCACCCCTTTAAAGTGTTTCACTGTATTTTCTCTACACTGTACATCTGTTCCACACAGTATATTCTGTATCTCCAACTGGAAGTTGCGGATATGTACGTTTATCTAATCCAAAACACGATCTTTATGGTGCATTATTCTGCATCAGATGGAAAATCATTTGCCATCTAGATGTTTTTTTTCTATGAAATTCAGCATTTAATATTTGGTATCTCTTGAGACATAGAGATCTAGACTAGACTTTGATTTATAGTAAAGGTCACAACCAAAGTTTCGAGGTGCAGAATTCAGTAAAAGACTAACATTTGAAAACAAATGATCAAACAAATATATCAAGCGTAAAAGAAGTTTGTGACAACGACAGAGAACTACACACTTTGTTTGTGTTATTTTCCAAAAGCTCGGTGCCTGTTACTTAAATTATTTCATTCAGCAATAAAGACCAAATAGCAGTCAGCTTCCATATCTACTCTTTTCTTCTTAGAAATACAAGTGTGTATTCTGCAAGTACTAAGGCTTGTTGTGTTGCGTTTTCTTTTTGATTTGACATGAAAACATGATGCAGAAGGAAAAGGACAGGGAAAGGGCTTTTGTCATAAAAGAACATCTGAGGGTGAGGACCCCAGTTTGGTTAGTCTCTAGTGCTCCCAGGCTCGCTGTGGGTCTGCCTGGTTAGCCCTGCTCCGTTTGCCTCAGTGTGCCTTTCCCCCCAGTCCCTCCCAGAGCTGCTTCTGCCTGTCGTCCCAAATAAACCAGCATCCATGAGGTGACACATGAGGGCCCTGCCCGCGTGCTGAGCAGAGAGTGGGACCGGTAACATGGTATAGGAAGACAGTGTGGGCATCTTACAGTGCAGCTCTGCAGGCTCCTCTAAGGCACTCAAAGAAGCATATGGAGGGGAGGGAGTGAGGAAGGCAGACATGCAGCTCCTCGCAGCTAAGACAGAAGAGCAATGCTTTGAGGCAGGAAGTGTGTGCACCAGTGTGTATAAAACACTGTCACTGCCACTGCAGGCATACAGTCATCGAATTCACTCATGTGGTGGATACTTACTGCTGTCGAATTGTATGCTTTAATGCAGGGGTTCTAAACCTTTCTGGCAGTCCGACCCCTTTTTGAAGTTGAAAATATTTTCTTTTGGCTGTTCTACGCGCTGTTAATGCACCTGCCTGCTGCACCTTGCGTTTTTGAATGAGTGCATGGAGTTGAAAAAAATTCAACTCTTGCCCGACGTCATTCACGTTTTTTCCCATTGTCCAATATAATGAATGGAGAGACGGGCCCTCAGTTGTGCTGACGGAAGTTTACAGTCTGTCCCACACCACATCACAGACATCCACAAACACTTTCAACAAAGACTTTTTGTCATTCATAAACTCAGGACTCTATCAGTCAAACCACACCTACTGCTTCTCCTGTACCGTAGTATCATTGAACCCATCCTCTTGTACTGTGCTGCCTGCTACTTCACCATGCTCTCTCTCTCACCAATAAGAATAAGCTTCTTAAAATTACTAACACCTCCTCCAAAATAATAGGTCTTCCCACTCCCAACCTCCCAGCCCTCATTAATACTGCCACTGCTCGAAGAGCAACTACCATAGTACAAAACCCCAGCCACCCTCTCAACTCATGCTTCACCCTTCTCCCATCTGGCCGTAGATACAGACAGCTGCTCTACAAAAAGGCACGCTTCGGAAAAAGTTTTGCACCCTGTGCTATAAGAGCGTTAAACTTACAGACAAATTAATAGTGTCACTTTTGTGTTATGTGTAGATATGTGTATATTGTCCATACATGTCCTTATATGTGTGTACTATGCGTAGTGATGCTCTTTGTACAGACTGTGAAAACAAATAAAGAATGAATCTGAATCTGAATCAGACTCATCCTAAAATAAGCCTTAAACCAACCATCATTAAGACGAAGCTCCTGCACCAGCTGGTGGTACTACGAGCGGTGTCTCCTCTTTTCGAGGGTCTCATGTGCCCACACGGATCTCAGTTTCCCTGTCTTCTGAGTGCTTGTACACCTCACACACTCAAAACAGTGCCAGAGCAGACGCTCTCCGTTTGTCAGATGTTTATAGCAACAAAACAAACAGACCTGTGAGTTGTGATTAAGTTTCTATGAAGTAAAGTCGAGTAACATCAGTGTTGGGGCCAGTTTTTTGTTTCAATGTAAACCTTCATGGAATGAGAAATAAGGTGACAGAATTTAACACAGGACTGTAAAATGCAGCTTGAATCCCAGGATCCGCTGGGAACAGTCGGGTTCTTGGGTTCAATTTCAGTACACTAGCTAGGTAATCCATCAAATTGAATCTTCTACCGCAGATCTATGATGAAAGACTCTGATAGCTGATACATGCTGAGCAGAAAAGGCAAGCCAGTTTAATGTCATTAATTCCATCTATGCCGTTACACAATTCAGAATCTTATCAAATGGGCTCCATGACCTTGTATTGGTCTGCTGTGGGTCCATCCTTAAAAAACATTTCCCTGTCATGCCTTTTAGTACATTGGAAAATTAAGTCTGTGTAGTAACAAATAATAACCACAAGAGGGAAGCAAAACATTACGTTTGGGCAAAGAACCTCAGTAAAACACCTATTCCATAGTGCACGTTGCTGATTAAAGATGCAGTGATAGTGTAGCGCAGAGTAAATAATAAACTTTCACATTTGCCTGTAAAGCCTCTATCTGACATAGGCCTACTCACGTAATGTAGACATAAAGGACTCAATGTTCCACAGAACAGGAACACTTGAGTCCTGGGGATTTCCCCTCTCTTTGGTGAACTCTTGACACCAACCTATGTTAAAAAATACTATTTGGTTGGAAGCCAAAAGGTTATGTTTGTTTTGTTCAAGGACTTTTATTGCACTGTTAGGATAACAACTTCTGTTGTTTAACACCCTGATAGCATATTTTTGGTGCTTTCCCAGACTGATACAGAGATCATGAACTAAGAAAGAAAGAAAGGTGTGGTAGGAGAAGGTGCACAAGCAACAAGGACGACCGCAGCCTTGAGAGGATGGCCACGTAAAGCCAATTCAAGAACTTGGCGGCGCTACACGAGGAGTGGACTGAGGCTGGAATCGTCAAGAGTCACCATGAATAGAAGGTGTTGCATTCTTAGTGTCAAGCCACTCCTGAACCAGAGAATACGACAGAAGCATTAGAAGTAGTACTTACAGCTTTGAAATGTTTTAATATTTATTTTTATTGGCTCCCCAGTCTGCCATAGCCGTTAAAAGAAATGGTTTAATCTTTCTTTTTATGTAAGGCTAAATATTCTAAACATATATTTAGGAATTCAAATTAAGTTTAATATGAATTTGTTTATTTAAAATTAAAGTTGCATTGTTTCTTATATTATAGAGACTGGTGATGTAGCGCCCCACCTTTTCCTATTTGGGTGCAGGTAACGTGGGTGAGTTTTCAGTAACTGGGGACTGAAGTCATGGTTGAGATCCAGTCTATCGACCATTTAAGCACTTTTTATATCATGAATGTTTTTTTTTTCATTTCAGTGCTTTATGAAATTGATTTAGAACAATGTTTGGAACATTTGGAACATAAGTGTGTTATATAAATTAATATGATTTTTAAAGTGACGAAAAGTTCTTGAACATGAGTTGGAACTCGTGCCCGCAGCTTTTAATGTCAAAATTCTGATACACAGCTGCTGCAGCTTAAAGAATAAAGCCAAAATTCATACACGCCATAACAATCCATCTCAGTAACACATTAATGGAACACACAAATGCAATCACAGTCAGATCTACTCACATAATCTATTGACGGGGTCAGTGATATTATAAGCCTGTTAACATACACAGTCACACAGTCTGCAATTTTCTGTCTTCCTGCATTTGGCAGCTGCAACTGTGTTGCTTTTAGCAAGTATTATGTGTTTAACTTCTTCATATTTATCTAATATCACAGTTTGCTCTTTGTAAAATATGCCGTTCTGCTACCAGTAGACTTGTCCACGTTTGCAATTGGTGCTACCACCACCAAGAGTTTTTTTTTTATCAGGGTGGAGCGACTGTATAATGTCTTAAACTGAAAATCTGATAAATCAGAATAGGTATCTAATTTCAGAATTACTGGGGCCACCAGCATGCAGAATCTCACTTCCACTTACCCACAATGCTTCATGTTCTGTGGTTTGTCCATGCGAATAGCCAGTTTGATCTTGAGGTCATTGTCTGGACAGCCTTTAGACACTGTCATCTTGTGAAGCTCAGACTGCTTGGGACTGTTGGGAGTCGGGTGGAGCACAACCTGGAAACAGACATATAATAATAATGTGAGCTAAACACTATATTCTGTACTGTATACTATTACGGTTATACCAATTTAAATTTTTACCTTCCCCAGCTCTTTATCTTCCAGAGCCAACACTCCTGTGCTCTCAGTAAACAGCTTTACCTTCACAGCAGGTAACGGCTGGGTGGTGGTGAAGTCACCCTGGGTACCCCAACTGCACACACACACACACACACACATAAACAGAAACACCAAGGTACAAGCACAAGAAAGAAAGCACTGTGTTAGTGATGATGATGCCTCTGCGGCTGTTGCATCTGACCACCTAAGCTACGGGTCCAGCTAGACCGGAACTTGCAGGGGTTTAAAAAGCAGAGTTTTAATGTATTTCAGCTTGTTTGTCATTTCACAGCCGTCACCCTTACTGTTTGGGTTCACAATCAGCCCCAAACAGCAGACACAGTTAGTGAGTAGCTGGTGAACATAATGGAGCATTCAGCAGCTAGAGATTTTTCTCAAGATTTATAAAGGTGCATCTCATAAAAGTAGAATATCGTGGAAAGGTTCATTTATTTCCCTATATCCAAATCTCAAAATATTAGAATAAAGAATTTATAATACAGAAGTGTCAACCTTCTGAAAAGTTGAAAAGTTCTGAAAAAGGTTAATTTATGTACTCAGCATTTGGTCGGGGCTCCTTTTTGCATGGATTACTGCATCTATGCGGTATGACATGGAGACAATCGGCCTGTAGCACTGCTGCAGTGTTATGGAAACCCTGGATTTTTTGATGCCATATATTTTCACAAAGAATTTAAGCACATTAACCAGCTCTCATGTTTGGACTGCCTGTAACTTCTCAAAAAGGACTGGAACACTAAGAACTGCACTAAGGACTAGACTGCTAAGAACACAATCAGTCATTTGTCAACCAAAGAAACAGGATGTCACCCATGGCAAAAGGGTCAACCAAGCGCTTTTTTAAGCTTAGAAGTTAGGAGAGTCTCAGGAACATCCTAGTGGTGACATTATATACTTTGTTAAGATGGCCCATTGTGGCTAAACGACAGGACATAGGACGCGCAACAGTTGCAGTAAGTGCTGGACTTGTATCAGTGCTTTTCATGTACAGCACTGCCATATTTCCTTGGTGTTTGCAGAGATATTGATATGAGGCAGGTGGTTGTGCAGAGTAATAATGTTTACAGTGGAGAAATCCATTTAACATCCCACCCACACCTCAGATATTACTCACATCCTCTACTGAACAGGGAACTCGGAAACTCAAGGAAATTACCAATTAAAAAGCCCACGCTTTTATTTGTTATTGAACTCACCCTGCCCATATTTGTGACAAGTGTCTATTTGGGACAGGCCGTTACTTCCTTTTGCACAAATATGTAGCCTCAAGAACACACTGTTGCTCATTGTTAATTGTCCGTAAAATTAACTGAACGATAGAATTGTGGAGAATCTAACCAATGTATGATGTGTAACATGTCCATATTGACAAAAGTTAAACATTCTTTTTTTAATGTCATATCTCAGCAGCTTAGAACTAGCTCAAGCAGGTGACCCCTACATCCAAAGAAAATCAGACCAGGCTTCTAATTGAGACCTGCATGTACGGTACAGTTTTTGTCAAAATGTGTAGCCACACCAGGCCAGTAAGGGCATTTACTTGGGACAAGGCTTTTAATTGAAGTTTCATGGTACTTAACTAGCTATCATGCTAAGCAAAATTTAAGTCTTTAGAGACCATGCCTTTGAATGTGAGGCCGAACTGCTCTTTCTTTTAAGGAAGGCCTCTACTGTGCAGGAACTATCCATTACCATTGAGAACTCTGGTGTTCCCAATTGGACGTGCCATCCATCCTCTTCAGCTCATCCAGAATGCAGCAGCTTGGCTGGTCTTCAACTTACCCAAACTCTCCCACACAACACTGCATCCAGTCTACCTGTGGCTGCTCAAATCCTGAATGGAGCAATGTTCAAAGACTGGAAGCTTAGAATTGTCACTGGTGAGAATGCTTCCAACTGGACAGGGAAAAAAGTAGTATAAAAAAAGAAATGTTTGTTTATAAATTTTAGTAGCTTTGTAAGATATGATTTGTTTCCAGCATTCAAAACATACATGTGAATGACTATTCTTCCGTTTTTTTCACTTTTTTAAAACTTGAAAGACAGCAGCTAACTACTTGTTTATAAAATGTTTTAAAAGTTGACACATTTAATTTTTAAATTAAAACGGAAATTATAAATGTATACCCTAAATGGTCAATGTTTCTTGGGTGGATACAGACTGCAAAAGGTCATATTTAAAAAAGTTTTTTGAAATTGTGTTAATTTAGCGTAGTTATATTGGAAAATAGCAAATCATATTTTTTGCTAAATATTTTTACATGCTAAAACAAATCCAGAAAAATGTAAGTTAATGCTACGTTACCTAACTTAACTTACTACTGAATGTAAAGTTATAAAGCCCTACTGTTTTTGCTGTAATAGTGAATAGAGACCTACCCAGCTTTACAGGAGCAGTATTAATCCTTAATATTGTTGTCCTCTGTCTCAGTCGTCAGGTGATGCAGTGGTTCACTACCCTGAATATAACCTTCAAATGTATAATGGTATAATGCAAACATTTCTGTCCCCTTTCTGAGATCACTCTTTTTGTTTTTCCAAAAATCTGGCAATATTTCTTCAGGGAGTGTAGTTATAGACAGTGGCAGCGCCGTGATAAATCCGAGGTCCGACAGTTTGTCGGACTTAGCAACAGTAACAAAGGGGGGCTTGGTTTAGCGACGGGTCAATTGTTGTCCCTGCTGAGCAGGGCCTGCTCCGTCCACTGGTTTGGTCCACTTAACGATCCTCCACAAATAATCCGAACAAAACTATATACATATCATTTAATTTTCATCCTCCTCTCCTTTATGGTGCCAAACCTGCCAACCACTTTGTTCTGGTCAATATTTATGTCCAGCTCTACAGACAGCAAAGTGAGATTTGACAGTCTGGCCTCATCCATTCACAAACGCAACTAGGTCTTAATGAGCTGCAAACGGCTGAAACTGCGTTTGGTGAGGCATGGCAGGACTGCATCGGTGGTAAGATTCATGTCTAACTCAGAACATAATACATGAAAAGAGCGAAACTCGTCCACTGCGCAGACCGTCAGCTTCAGAGGCCTCCTTGGGTGTGCTGTTGTTGTGGAGTTGGATACGGTGCAAGGCTTTAAGAATTTCGGGGAGGCTCTGTATTGCTTCGGTGGCCTGCTTCCTGGAGGCTCATCTTGTGTCAGTTCTTTCCAGTTGCATGTAATTCTGCTCCTCTTATAGTATGTAAAACCTTGAAGTTAAAAAGTAGTACAAGGTCTCAAGTGTACCGAAAAAAGTCTTTGTGCTACACAAACAACACCCAGCATCCATAAAATGCCTTGTCTGAGCAATTCTGCTTGACTATTGTTTTTGTGTCTCTAGCTGCAATAAACTTTTTTGGGACTGAGATATGTCACTTGGATCACCGGGTTACTCAGGTGCTGCTGAGTCATAATGAGCCAGCAACTTCACAAGCTCTAAGAAATCCCCCTCATTAGAGTCAGTGGCTCCCAGTCCAGCATGTTCTCTGTGGCCAGCCAGCCTCTGTCAGGCTAAAAAGAGTGTGGTGTCCACCAACCTGTGTAGGATTCCTCTGTTCCTCTCCACCTTCTCTCTTTCAGCTCTCAGAAGCTCCACAATCACAGTGCTGTCCTGACTTAAACAAACCCCCCAGCACTGTCATGGGACTATTTGCCAAAAAGCCAACAACAGAAACAGAACAGTCGGTTTGTCCTAGGTGAGTACACCAACCACTGATGTACCACAAACAATCCCTGTATAATAACATTGTTTCTTTGTAACATAGTAACTTAATAACAGTTAAAGCAGATTCTGATTGGGACTGCCAACAGTAGTCAACATTTCGCTTAAAAGAGACCTTAGATTAGACAAACATACACTGCACTATGTCAGCTGATTAATCAGTCAGTTTATAGCAGTAGTTTGTCTGCTCTTTTTCCTGCAAATAACTAACATAAAATAAATGAATATATATTACAATGATAAACCAGTTCCATTATGTACTGTCTTTACCTGATAGTGCCCGCACCCATGTTCAAAATATATTTCTATATAATAGGTTTTCTGGATTTCTAAATACTTCCCTCAACAGTGCTACTTAAGGACTTCTGGAGGCATAGAGAATAGATGTCTTGTACCAATCTCTACTCAGTAACTTAACTTAAATAATTTGGTACCACATTTACCTTCATAAGTGAAAATACTGAAAATAGCATTATGCCACAGAAAAAGAATAACGGTATAAGAAGGAAAGACGAGAAAAGCAGCACCCCCGTCAAATGGCAGCTAGAATGGCTCCAAACCAACTGACAGACGTCTGACAGAGTAAGTGGGGTAAAAGGGGGTGTATAGGGTAGTTTGAGTTTTTTGTTTCTATTTTCTTTTCTTTTTAATTTTATATTTGCCTTAAAAATACAAGACATAGAAATGAATGCCTTAGAAGAGGCCTGGGCCAAATACCCTAACTGAATTTTAAGAAAAACATAATTCTAAATGTTTTCTATCCTTTATTACAGAAAGGAAAGAAAGAGGAAGAAATGGGAAATGGACACTGACTATGTTTTTGAGGACTCTGAATGGAAGCTGATTAATCATTCTCCTATAACAGTCGACACTTCCACTCTTACAGCTTAACCTTATACACAGGGCTCCTTAAGGTAAGTAGTAGCTATTCAGAATATTGAATAGAGCAATACTGGAGACCTATCTTGCATTTCATAAAAAGAATTGTGAGGGTGGAGATCTCGACCAAGCCAAGACTGACACTACTGGGGGGCCACTAAGGAGGGAGTCATTCACTGCCCACATCGATTGCCTAAGTCTAAACACTGTTGAGAACATACTTTCTTACAACAACATTCCTATACTTACACAACCATAGTCTTTCTGATGTGTCACCAATACATTTTTGCTCTGCTCATGTGATGCTCTGGAACAAATCTGAGCAAACACAAAACAGTCTGTCCCTGAGCTCACAAACCGCCTGGTCAGAGCCTGATAAAAGCAACACTTTATTGAACTGGAAATCACCTGAAACTAAACTAAAATGCTAATGCTGGTGGAGGTGGAGTATGAGGGTGTTAAACTGCAAAGCAGCAAGTAGGAGAGGAGTTTGGAGTAGTGTTATAGTATGCACAATGAGCACCACCATGATTATATGGACTGCAAAGTTAAATTTGATAGGATATGGACATATATGATTACATAGAGTATATGTAGCATGTAACCATTGACTTTCACACCTGCCTGAACAACCATAATGCTCCATTTAATGAAAACATATGAGCCATTGACATAAAAGGCACCAAACTTGAGTCTACCATCACAGAGGGCAAATCCTATGAAAGCACTAGGTTAACAGCACACTACATCATGTACCTATGTTTATCATGTACAGAAACAGTAGTCTGCAGGCTAGATACCTAGGCCTTGTGTCATAAATCTACCAAAAAGGGTGAGATCAAGGTGATGGAGGCTTTGTTTTGCGCTGTGTGTATGTTGTATGTGTGAATGTGCGGTACATACGTGGGTTTTGAGGCCTCAGCCTGGTCCGTCTGCAGTTTATGTCCTCCCTCAACCTCCATGGTACAGTAAACAATCCTGTTTGGAGCCAACGACTTCAAACCCTGGACCTCCATGATCACTACCTGCAACACACACACACACACACACACACACACACACACACGCACACACATACACATTTACAAAAAGAGAGGGGGGATAAGGGGAAGCCTCAAATTGCACAGCAACTAAGAAAAAATAAAGCCAACATTGTCTCTTCCATTTTGTATACCAATATATCTGAACAAACAGATGCAGTTGTTGTTAATAACAACTTTGTGCATTGAGATGACAAGGGTGCAAGGGTGTAAAATTTAGACTACTGAATTGTCCCTAGCAATAATTGTGATGGCTGCGCTGTTCTTGGGGGCTTAATGAAAACAACTGGAATTAAAGCTGCTGCAAGCACTGGGGCTTGTCGCGGCAAACGCAGCTGTGAATTACCACATGTTTTGGACCATACTGTGAAAATGTCATTTAATTCGAATGATGATTGTAATACAGGGCTTTCTTCCGGATGCCAGTAGGTGGCACTTTGACTATAAGTGAATACTGGCATTTAGATGTGTTTAGGGGATGGACCGTTTTCAAGCATGTAAAGTCTGGCACAGATTTGAGCATGTACAGTGAAGCTACAACGACTTCTTGTTTCATGGCGAAGCATGGAGCTTTGCTGACACGCCATGACATTAAAGCTCACAAGCTTCAGAACAAAACATCAACAATTGTCTAAGACAGTTTTGAAGTGGATTTGGCGAACTTGCCAAATCCAAAAAGAAGGAGTACTTCTTCATAGCATGAAAGTAGTCACTGCCTGTTGCCAGTAGATGGCACAATGATTATGAGCAAATATTGGCATATAGATGTGTTCAGGGCGAGACTCTTATCAAACATGTTTTTATACAGATGTGAGCATGTATACGGAAGTTACAATAACATCCTGCATGGCGAATCATCAATATTGGAGGCCACGCCGCGGACACGCCCTTCCACAAACACTCACAGATAGCACAACTTTTCATCATCAATGTCTTTAGATTGCACAGCAAAAATTTGAAGTGGATCCCATTAAGTCTGCAGGAGGAGTTTGTTAAAGTACGGACCCTGTAAAAGACCATAAATTGGCTGACACTGCACATTCAAATGAACATGGCTGACTTCCTGTTGGGTTTTGGGTATGGCCCCAAGAGACTTTTTTGTGCATCTCTGGATGATACATGTAACAAACGTTCTGTGCATCTAGGTGAAACAGGGTGCGGGCTGCATCATTGAAAGGTCACTTCCTGCTGCCAGCTGGTGGCGCTATGAGTATGAGTAAATATTGGCCTGTAGATGTGTTTAAGGCCTGACCCTTATCAAACTTGTGAAATTTAGTACAGATATAAGCATGTACAGTGAAGTTACAACAACTTCCTGTTTCATGACGAAGCATCGAACATCATCACCGTGCCAAGAACAAGCCGTTACACAAAAACTCACGATCTTCACTTCACTTCAATGTTCTGTGTCATCAAAGGCTATTCTGAGAGTGTTTTGAGGTGGGTGTGGAAAACCTGCTAGGAGTAGTACATCACAGCGTAAAACCTGACACTTCCTGTTGCCAGTAGGTGGTGCTATGACTTTGAGAGAATGTTGGCATATGGATGTGTTCAGGATGATACTGTTATCATACATGTAAATGTTAGTAGAGATGTGAGCATGTACACTGAGGTTACAACAACTTCCTTGCATGTTTCATGCTCAGGTCCTAATAAATTGAGCCATTTAACACTCAGCCATTTAAACTGTGGTGTTGTAAATGCAAAATGGCCTATTTACCTCTGATTTAGAGACTTACTTTAGTGTTAAAATGTGTTAAAATATCCACAAAGGCCGTGTTTAGGTTGGAAAAAAAAGAACAAAAAACAGATAACATTGTAATTCTCTTCTTGTTGGTCTAATAGCTGCAAGCATGTACGCCTGGGCTGACTGTGAAAGTATCAGGCATGTTTGTCTTATTATTATAATAAGAAAAATATAATTATTAATATTATCATATGTGGCCATTTTGCTACAATTACATTTCACACAACAGCTGTTTGTGATCTGTCTTTTCTTTTCTCCATGAGGGAAGACTTCTGAAAAGTTGCGTGGCGCTACGGACAGCCCCCCAGCAGCAGTACTGCATGGATCATGCTTAATACCCAGAAAAGACGGAACGATTACGAACCATTTAGAGCGCGTCGGCTGAGGTGTTGGAGGTCCAGTAGGGGGCAGTCTTCCCTCTGGTCCTAATAATAAGATCCCAGGGCAGTGATGGGGACACTGTGCAGTAGGAGCTGCCCCCAAATGAATGGCAATAAAGCATGCTGTCAATATTATGTACTCTGATTTTATGCACTAGAATTATAGTTGTTAATTTTATTGATTTATTGCTGCACTGTTTTATGTTGTTTTGTGAGGTGACCTTGAGTCTATATAAATAAAATGTATTATTATTATTGCTATAGATAGTCCTGCATTTATGCAAACACAGAGCAATTGTAGAGAGCAAGCGAGTATTCAGTGTAATTTTGAGCCTCAAAACTAACTTTTTAGGTTTAAGTCAGCTCAAGGGTCTTATTTGATTGATATATTCAAAGCTAAGAGCTCAGTTTTGGCAGTACGCGTGTAAATTCCACTGTCAACCTGTTTGACTGCACCTTCATCATCTGCCAAAACACCTGCACACAAGAGAAACAATGCATTGATCAAACATAAAGTCAATGTTCTGCAAGACAAAAAAATGTTAATTTACATTTGTAAATCTCAACCTGCTCACTTTCAATTCTTGCAGATTGATAATAGCTTGAATTTGTTGTCTGCACTCTCAATGGTTTTGTTATTAGTGAGCTTCCATGTATTTTGTCCAGTGTGGGAATTGTTTATGTTGATGCCTGGGCGTGGAGGATTTTCAAAGCCTATTGAAGTAATTGAAACTGATTACTGTCGTGAGTAAATGTCTCTTTATCTTGGTCAGACCCCAATGAGAGAAGCACAAATTCTGGCAGGTGTTGCTAGACCACAGAAAACATTCATTGTACAAAAAATATTATTTCTCCCACCTCACCCACAATGTATTCATTACATTCTTTATACTCTAGAAAAGATGGAAAGTGTCTCTTTTCTCTGAGATGCTAGAAACAGAGACAGTAAAATAATCATGATGCTGCGGGACTGTTATGCTTCATGGATCCTTGTGGAGGATAAACACCCGTGTAGGCGCGAGGCTGGGCACAGCTATTGGACAGGTAATTTATCATCTGAGGGGTAAGGAGATACTGTACTCTGTCTCTTTTCAACATAGAAATGGACCTGCCTGTCAACCAATTAAGGTTCAAAAAGACAATTCTTCTCATTAGCTACTCCAGATGCTAACCCTGAAAAACCAGCCGTGGTTTATGGGGGGGGGGGGGACACTGAGGTGGAATAATATATAGGAACACGTCTCTTTATGTCTAAACCTTTCAGCTTCCCTGGACCAAACTGACAGCCAGTTCCTTGGTTACTTAAACCCGAGCTGTATCCCCAGGAAAAACACCTAAAATAGCATTTCCAAAATGAATCCGGTATAACTAGGCTGTTAGGCTGGTATTTCTGGTCTCCTTTGATACATCAGAAGCTAAAGAATATGAATCAAATTGTAAGTAAACCTATTTCGGTTACCATTGCAGAGTAATTGGATATGCACTAAAGGAAAAGATAAGACTTTCATCCTTGCTCAACCCACAGAACACGACGGCATGCCTGTATATGGTGTCTGTGCATGAAAGGCGCTCGCTGCCCCCCTAAACTAATTGAATGTACAAATGTGTTATGCATTTCTACCAAAGCAGAAAGTAGAATACTGCTCCAGACAGTGCAGACGCCTGACATTAAAGCTACCCTGTGGAGGTTTTTGACTAGTAGCACTATGGAGCAATGTTTTAAATGTGTGGGTCTCCATTCTGTTTGGATATTGCTCCCAAGCAAGCATATTAACCAAGATCTCTTTTGCAAGAGACCTGAGCACAGCAGATAGAGGAAAAATTGCCAGGCACAACAAAATGAAAAAAGCTACAGTAGACACTACCACTGAGAGTACATACAGTTTCCAGTCATATACTATATAGTTTTGACATAGTCTTGTTATCTTTAGTTTAATTGGCAATTTATTTGTAACTTCCAGATCACTTGGACGTTCTAATTAGCCAAAGAGAATGAGCGATTACAATGCACTTTATTTTCGTTGGGAATAGTAGCAAAAGATCGGCAGAGGGAGTTTGCTCAGTTGTCATGGAGATGGCTCAGTTATTATCACATAACCAACGTATGACATTTCAGTCGAGTGACCAGTAAGGCCTGTAAGTGGAACTTGCGCTAACTTATGAGATCATAAACCATGTTTCCATTCAAGAATGGGCTCTTATGTCGGATGTGGGAAAAAATGAATCCAATCCTAAAACACATCCATACTGTTTCCAAGATAATGCAACAGTTGCGATATTCCTTCATAAAAATAGAGAAACTACATCTAGTTATATAAAATAAATAATGCTTATTGTCTAATTGTATATTAAAAAAGAAGTAATCTGCTCAGACATGAACTGGAGTTGTATCTATATGCTTATCATTTAATTGCTCTTGTGATAGTTTTAACCACGTGGACCCTGGCAACTATTTCTAGGAAAAACGCCTAAAAAAAAAAAAAAACATACCCAAAATAAATCAGTAATATCTCCTCAACCATTAGGCCTAGATGCATAATTCTGGTCTCCTTTGAAAGGTCAGAAGCTAAGGAATATAAATCATTAACATATTTATTTTACCATTACAGACTACATGAAGATGAAAAAACTGAAAAAAATATGATATTTAGCTATAGCTATATTTTAATGCAATAAACCATCAAAACCATCATAAGGTAGATTATAATGCACCTGAATATATACAACTGTATATAACAGTAAATTTGATGAAAAGAAACTGATACACAACAGTTATTACACAATCTTTCAAAAATATACCAGGTGAATGTCCATGTTTTGGCCATATTTACTGTTTATATGTTCACTTTTATTGGGAGTTATCTTCAAAACATTATTTCTCTCCATACAACCATGTTCCAAATAACATAAAGCTTCCAAAACATTGAAATATTGATAAAAACAATATTCTTATGACCAAAAGCACTCCCATGCTTTACAGGCGACAGCTTGAGAACAGAACATCCTACAGGGCTGTGGGTGGGTTCTTTCTCTTCGTATTGAAGAGACGAAGAGAATGAGTGGCTCCTACGGTTCGCCAGCAGAGGCCGATAAAAGCCGCCTCTGCCAAACAAGCTCTTCTTCTATGACAGAATTTGAGGTAGAAATTAATCTTATCGCTGTCCTTCAACCTCAGCAAGATGACGGCCTGCCAGACGGTCAGAACAGCGAAAATCGATTACGCCCCCCATATCGGGTCAGGTCGTTCCCATGTTTAGCTTTTTATATAGATGTTAAAATTTACTCAATAATAAAATGTTTCAATCATGTGAGTCTCTTAAGCCAAACTCCACCAAGTAATTGCAAAGCTCTCTCACTTCCTAGCACAAATTCCTATTTGCTTGTCATGTTGTCTAATGCTTCCTTCAGGGAAACTGTGAGGCCCACAATAAATATTCAAATACATTTTATGCTTCCCAGAGAATTTACCCTTTTCATTTTGGACAATGCAAACCCACTCCAAACACAATATATTAGGGAGTTCCCTTCTTCTATCCTGAAAGATCACATAATGGCTGTTAATGTCAACTATCTCTCTGTCCTTACATTGTTTAATGAATGCCGTGGAATAAGTAAACCAACATCATCAATAGGTCCACCAACCTCCAGGGTGAAGGACAGCACCACGTCAGATTTGGACAGCGTGTTCTCATCCTCCTGGCCCATGTCCATGATGGAGGCATTGTGGCCTCGTTTCAGCTTCTGCAGCTTGAACTCTCCTCCCTTGGACACTGGCATGCTTTCCAGGTTGGCCATCAGCAGGTTTACAGAGGATCGCAGTTCCTCAATGTACATGGCCTCCATCTCTCTGGATGCAAACCTGGGAAACCTTCCACCATACTGACCAAAACAGGAAGGCGGCTAATTAATTATTGAGCGTGATTCAGTGAATGAACAAAATAACATTAAACAGCACCAGTTGTAAATAATGTTGCAACATAAACAAAGTCTGTTTTGATCTGAACTCTAAACTCATGTCAAACATTAAATTAAAACAGTTAATAATGTAAAATCTGAATACTGTAGATCTCAAACTTCAAGGACCTGAAACAATATTCAGGTTAAGTCCTTGAAATTATCAATAGTTAGGATATAAAGTTAACCGTTCCTTCTATTTGCTTATCCATTCATCTCTCCTCATTCATCCATACATCCATACATTCACTCATCCATTTGTACATTCATCGTGATCCATCCATCCATCCTTGTTCCTTACCCGAGCAATCTGGTCTGCCATATTCAGTCGCCCATCCAGCTCTCTTCTGATCTGGGCTGCCTGCTCATCAGGGTTGTCCAGCTGGGGAAACAGACAGAAAACCCATCTGACTTCACATATGGACCCAGAACAAAATTTTTAATTTTAAACAACAGTAATTAGTAAAATGACAATAATGGAAAATGAAAACAAACAAAAAGGAAACTGTTATCAAGGGTAGATGATAAGGTTAAAGTTACTGAAAAGAATCCACCTCTTAGTTTTAGTTTCTCTTGAGAAGTATGTATTTACACGGTGCTTGAAATGGAGAACTGGTACTTTCTGACTAACAACTTAACAAAAACCAAAATGTGAACAGTGCCAAAAATGTCCTCCTTGAAACTGATTTAGAATGACAAAAAGGAAAGAAAAAAAAGAAGACTCCGACTCAGAAGAAACTCCATCATCATCCATCATGGAGCTGCTGCTGTGAGTGCCCCCATTGCTTAATGTTGTTTCTTACTGCAGAAAAAAGATTCGAGTCATCAGGATCTGTTACGCAACATATAACCTGCATGCTTGTTTCACTTGCAAATCAAACTACACAACTTAAACAGTCTGGGGCCTGATCCTTCACCAACCATTTTATGTTTATAGAGGGTGTGAAGCCTTGTGTAGTACAGTGTTAATTGAAGGTTCTCAAAAGGCTTGTCGAGCAAGCCTGCTTGTGCCCATAATCACAGTGAAGAATGCCCTCTTGGGGATATTATTGCTTCTGTCAATACCTTCCCTTTCCAGTTGGCCAAGAGAAGCCTTGTTGCTTACAGAGACCAGCGAAACACAGAGCAGAAATCAATCTGATGACCATGATTGAATTCCATAAGTCGCTCTTGCCCTGAGGATCAATACTCCCTCTGCAGCCCTGCCTGCTGATTAGGGGGAGCTTGAGAAGGCTAATGGCAGTGTCACACAACCATGTTGTGGTCAGTCAGCAGCATGACGGGGTTCTCTGCCATCCGCAGACAAGCACACAGGTGTGTTTGTGTGATGTATGCACACAAGAGAGCAAGACACATGTGGTGTACTGTAGGTTAGCAGTTGTTAGCAAAATGCTTGACATGACATCAACGTCTACAGAGACAATAGGATTATTGAAAAACTCCATCAGTTTTCAGTTAAAAGACTAATTTTAAATTGGGAAAAACTTAAAACAGCCTTTTTTAATAAGATTATTAAAGCATTCTCTGATCTGCCACCTTTATAATTAAGATGCAATGATGAAATAAGTTTAAGCAACTAAAACTATATATGGAAAAGCATATAATCACTATATAAAGTTGTTGGGGTTGATGTGTTAGCTGAATGTTGCCTATTTACACATTCAGCAGACACGTGTGTTCCACCTCACTCTCCTTTTGGCTTTGGGAGTTGGTTTCTTTTGCTGCTTAATGCTTCACAGCTGTCTGTCAGTCTCCTGGCTGGTGTTGGTGCTGGGCACCGCGGGACTCGTGAACAACGTTTATTTTTAGGAAACGTCTGATGAGCTTGCTGTTATTCCCTCCCTCTGTTACCTATAACCTGCCTACGTAACACGTAGCATCTGCTGCGCGTGGCCGCACGTGACAGAGGACAACAAACACTGCCGGCTGCTGAGCCATTCATCATAAATTTTGGCTTTAAAAATTCATAAAACAAGACCCAAACAAAGAAGCGCTGAACGCAAATAGGTTAGTAACCTGTGGTGAGTAAACATGTTTAGCTCAGCATTGGCCATCTAATGTTAGCTTGCTTCTTGCTTCAGCTACGACCTACGTGAGGTTAACTCCGACTGTCGTTCGTTATGAAAAGATGAATGAGCGTTTGTTTACGTGCCAAACTTGTGGTGGTCGATAAACGTAAATATTTACGTCCCGCTGGCTGCCATCACCTTAATTATTGTTGCCACTGGCTAGAAAGAAGTTACAGGTTTATTGTTGATCATGTAACGTTACAGTTTTATTTAGTTATAAATTACATTGGGTTTGAGAGTCAACAGGGTTTATTAACTTACAGTAGTTTAGAAGCTGTCAGTAATTGTAGACACATTGTACATTAGGCTACATGGTTGTGCTCTGTAAGTTAAAAACAGGTTACAGGTTTATTGTTGATTGTGCAACGTCACACTTTTATTTAGTTAACGTTACACTGGGTTTAAGAGTCTCTGGAGTGTGTTGACTTACAGTATTTACTAAGCTGTCAATAATTGCATTGCACATTACATGGCTGTGCTCTGTAAATGAAAAACTGGTTACAGTTACAGAATTCCTTATAGCCATGCAGTTTTATTAGCAACCTGGACTGAACGCAACAGGTGATACAACATTCGTAATAACCACAAGAGACTTGAGACTTGATTTGGACTCTAGCTCAAAGACGTGAGCATCTCTGAATGGGAGTAGAGTTTGTGGACAGAAGATGGAGCTGAAACGATTTGTCAATAAATTGATATTAGTCTATCAACAATAATCATTTTAATCTTTTTCAAGCAAAACTTTGAAACATTCCCTGGTTCCAGCTTTGCAAATGTGAAGATTCTTTACTTTTCTTTGTCATATATAACAGTAAACTGAGTATTTTGGGGGATTTTGACTGTTGGTCAAACAAAACAAGCAATATGAACACATCTTGAGTTGTAAATAATTCTCACTTTTCTAATATTCAATAGATTAAATAAACCAATCAGCAGATTTATTGAGATTTATAGAAATGAATGGTTAGTTGCAGCCCTAGCCAAAAACCAAAAGAAAGAGCTGAAAGAGGCTCCAGAAATGTGAAGGGAAATCAATAGTCAGATAATTCTCTGTAAGTTTGTCACCGCGAATGCACTGTGGCCATGGTTAAAAGGAGATAGCATGTTACAGCCACAGTCATTATTCACATGACCACGTTGCTAGTCAGGAAAACATAAACATAGGTTGCTTGAACAAACAACAAATGCTGTTGTTAATGTGGTGGGAACAATTTCCATAATTGTGATAGTGTCATAGAGTTTGGAAAAAGTAAACATGAAAGAGTTAATTTAAGAACTGAAATCAGGGATTAGGTATTTGATACATTTATTTCCACCATGACTTAAGACTTTCTTAATAAACCAGTATGTATTTATAGTTTTACAAGGTGCAGAATGCTGCTGCAGGTCTTCTAAAATAAAAAGGTCTAATAAAGGCAATGAAATCAAAAAAAGGTTTACATTTGAATATGACATAGCAAGGTTAATCCAATAAAGACCATTCACTTTGGCAGTTATAAATTACAAAAACCAAAAACAACAAATGCAGATATAACGTAAATTATAACTCTTCTACTCTCTCTCTCACTCTCTCAATTGATTTTCTCCCACTGTCTGCATTAACATCTTGCCAGAACACCCACCGAGAAGCACGTTTGAATTACGGCTGTCTCCCAGGCATGCACGACGCACACACACACTTTGATATGCACCACAGAATACACACATCAAAAAGTGTGCAGCGCCATACTGTGTATACACTCCCATGTTGTTAATCTCTCCCCATGATATTCACAGAGAAAGCAGCGTGCACACATCAAACAAAAGAGAATGAACCTGGTGCCTCAGATTGCAGGAATGCAAGGTTTTGTTCTCACATTAAAGTTACAGTATGTGAAATACTGAATTTCACTGCCAATCTCAACCTCCATTAAACAATCTGAGTCTGGATTTGTCTCTCCAGGAAGCTACAGCCTGTCCTTTACCTACAATAACCCCAAAGAAGTGATGCAAACCTTTCCTGTTTATCTTTCTTTTGTGTTGTTAGTCACTCGCTTTTATACGAAATTTGCATGAGTCCTGGCTCCCTGTAATAGTGGGAGTGAGATGCTGCCCCAAGTGGAGGAGTATTTCGAGGTCTTGTTCACAAGCGGTGACAAAATGGATTTGATAAGGATGCCTCCGAGGTGCATTCCTTTGGGGGTCTTCTGGGCACGTCCAACTACGAGGAGACCCCCAGGGTTGACTCAGATCTCGCTGGGAGGATTACATATCTCATCAATGCCTTGGGATCCCCTAGGAGGAGCTTGAAGGTGTTGCTGAGGAGAGGGATGTCTGAAATACCCTGCCCTAGCCTGTTGCCACAGCGATAAGATAAAAAGCATATCCTACCATACAACTTCAGGAGCTAACGCTAGCCACCATTGGCGTATACTTATGGCATGATTTTGACGTCTAACATATGCCCAGACTCATGCATTGAGACTTTTTTCAATGTTTTGAATAATGCAAATTAGTCACTACTGCCAACTCCTTTTCTAACTGTGTAATGTGGGTGTATACAGTGGGTAAAATAGTAAAAAAGTACTATTACAGTATAGTTTACTTAGAGTAAAGTGGATGCATCTCTCTTGCATTTTTTAAAAGTGGATATTTAGGATACTTACAGAATTATCGACATATTTTGCATGCATGCTCATTTTTACATATTTTTCATTATGTGAATACACAGTTTTGTAGTAACTAGCTATAGTCCATGTAATCAAGTTTCCACAGTTGTCAGTTTTTTCATATTAAATGCAGCTGATTGCAGTAAAATGCTGTAGTATATTATTCTTCAAAGGGAATTTATGAAAGAGAAGTGTGTTTTTTGAGAAAGACCAGCTCCAAATGTTTAATCAACAAGCTTTATGTTTACGATATACAGTATGTTGCTGGCATAGATACAAATGTTATATGCTAGGTAGACAAAATAGGCCAAATCTATATATATATATATATATATAGATATGGCCTATTAGATATAGATATGTGTGTATATATATATATATACACACATACCACATTTAAGGAATTAATAGTTTTCACGTTACAGTGTTGGCAAATTAAATAAATAAAAAACAACCACAAAATCGCCTCCACTAAAAGTCTATACACGGTTTAATATAAAATATTTGCATGCTTTTCCTGTTTCCTGTCAAATTGCACAATTTTATTTTGTATTTTATGCGTTTATTTCCTTCCCTGACAGTGGAGTCGACCTGAGAGTGGAGCCTGGATCCACAGTGGAGATCTGCAGGCAGACACTCCTGTTTCATTGTTTAATCCTGTACTC